CCGCGCAGGTCTGAACGACGCAAAGCGTCATTTACGTCCAGAGAAGCAGCCAGAGCGGCCATTTGTACACGCTGCCCCGCGTCATCGCTCCTCAGCTGTGCGTGTTGCCTGATCATCTCTGCGCGGCGATCCGCGTCGACCGTGTACAAGTAAGCCTCGCCCGTCTCTAGCCGCGCCTGCACCTCGGCATCTCGTATGCGCACCGATGCCGCCTGCTGGTTCAACGCGTCCAGCTCCGTGACACGATTGTAGGCATGAGCCGCATGAGCATCAGAGACGTATTTCTCCGCCGCGGCCCCTGCCATGCCCTCACGGTATGCGAGACTCACCTCGCGCTGGCCCAGTTGCTCAGCGTGCATGCGGTTCTGCTGCGCCTGCCGTTGTAACTCGGCGAACGTATAACCGAGCGCCTGCGACCATTCGGTCATCTGCTGAGCGATTCTCCCGGTTACCTCAAGATGTGAGGACATACATGTGGCGACCGGCTGAAGGAACTCCACGCGTTCCGGTGGAATGAACTCGGCGGTTTCTGTCCGCAGATTCTGAAAATAATGCGTCCCGCTCGGCGTATGACAGACGACGTTTCCCGAAGCGTCCAGACTCGTCTGCACCGTGAACGTTGAGTACGCATCTCGCGCATTCTTGGCAGTAATCCTGATTTCGGCAGGGCCATACATACGGATGAATTCGCGCAAAGCCTGCTCCCAAGCGTTCCACTCGGGCTGTGTGTAAATCTGCACCGGGCCGTTGGGACCAATAGTCGTCATGGACATCTTTGTGAGAGTAGGTTAAAGAAGGAGGGGAAAACGAACAGAAGAGAGAACAAGGCGGAAGTCGAAGACTGTCCGTGGAAAAGGAGAAGAAAGTAGAAAGGAGTCCCCGAAGATGATATTCACTTAGATTCCATTCAAACCATACTTCCCATTCAATCGTTCCTTTCGCAAGCTCCCACAAAGAAAATAGAAAGAAATAACAGTTTTGCCGTAATTGAGAATTAAGCGCATTCAAGCGCACAAACAAATGAAGCAACACGTGCATCGGATGGAGTGGGGGGGGTGTCTTTGAATTACATGCAGGAAGAAGAATTACATATGTTTAAAAAAAGAAGGCGTTTTTTGATACCGTTCTCCTCCGTTGCGCGCTTGCTACTGCCACGCACGCGGCTCACTCAGAAAGATGATGGGCCATTCCAGCCATCTCCATCCGGTCACACCTCACCTGTCACCACAAAGACTAAGACCAGTGTCACGGAAACTCTTTGTAGAGGGGTATTGTCGATATCCTGATCAGAGAAGGGTTTGCAGAAGAGGAGAGATTTTGAATGAAGAACGTGCGGTCTGGAGGGAATACGGTTTGCAGGCTGCACGCTTGACGTCACCGTATGACTGCACATTTAGGACTTCACGACACCTTTGGTTTGTTCAATGAATTAGTGGATAACCGTCTGCACTGTTCCATCAAAACAGCCACCCCAAAGTTAGCGAACTGCGTTGTCTTTTCCTCTCTGCTACGTATCTATTCACAGAGTGGGGAGTAGCCATTCTGCAGCTTAGGTACTCCGAAGTCGTCTGCGGGAGACTGGATCGTCTGCGCCGAGTAAGTTTCCCCAAAGTGGCGAGACAAGTCGTCAGCCGGGTTGGTCTCGCCTGCCATGTAAAAGAAAACCACTACGATTTCCTTCTCATGGAACAGAGCATTAGTGTACTGGAACAGGGTGTTCAAAGCGTATCCCCGACCCATTCCACCGTACCCGTTTTGTCTCCGCTGGGCTCTCACGATCGCAATGTGGTCTGTCACCACCGCCCACATTTGGCCCGGGCGCGGGTTTCGTCGGTACATAAGCTTTAGCAGACGGAGAATCGCTGCCGGTTCGGCGTGCGCTGAATGTTTGGAAGTGAAGAAAAAGGGGTCGATGCGTGCCAAAGGTTCATCCTCGTCCTCCGCCGCCGGCGCACCGAGCTCACGCATCCACCGCTGCTGGTACTTGAACGCGGTGCCATCCTTCCAACGAGAGATTGCACCCCAGCCCTCGGCAGAGGCATCGGTGAAACTGATACAATCGTACCGCTCATCTTCGTAGCCAACGTGCACCGCCGGCGCGATCTCCCACCATGCGTTTTCGATCAGCTTCGCGCCGAGGTCTCTCATCGTCCGATTAACACGCGGATCCAGGTATGAGAGCTCCGAGTCCCACGGGCGGCCTTGGTCGACCAGACGATAAACCCCTCTATATGCGCGGAGGAGGTGAGAAAACAGGGACGGGGTTCATGCGGGTCGTGTGGAGGGGCGTACATCTCGAGCGACAACAACAAAACAAAACTGCGGCAGGTGAAGCGTTGCGGGTGCCGGTGCGGGCGTCAGCTCAGAGACTGCCTCGATCGAGCTCGACACGAATCGTTCCCTGCCGTTCCACATAAACCGTTCGCCAAGAAAGGTCTGCTCCTCTTGAGCCAGCCTGAAAAGTTCGTCGTCTGACTTGTGCAACAAACTCTCTCTGTCGGGTGACGTCAGCAGGTTCGCCTGTCGAATCCTTCGCAGAATAGCACGCACCGCCGTGACAAAAACGTACTCTTCACCCGCTTTTGCCGCTATCACGATGTTGTCGATGCACGGGTAGAAGGTGGATTCCGTGGCGACATCAACGATCATGTTTGTGATTCACTGCCCGACCGCGACGCTCCAGCGAGCACCGGTCGGTAAAGTTTTGAGGCGCAAATAATACTCTGGCGATGTGTGGAACACGAATTTATCCCTCGTCTCCTCGGGAAGGGGGATTGCGTCGTAGAACGCCTCGAAATCGATTTGAAGCATATACTTCGCGTAACGCAGGCCTTGTCGCCGCTCGAGGCGTCCCGGACTTCGTAGCTGCGGGAGTTCCTCCTTCCGAATGACGGAGTTAAGGTGAGGTTCGGTGATCAAACGTCTTCGGCCTTTCATCTCCGGAACAGTGAAGACATTCACCCCGTGTACGCCGTCGTGGAGGCGTCGTCCGTAGTGTGTTGGGCAGCGTTCAAATTTGCCCATTCGGACAGCTCTTTCCTCATCCTCAGTGCTCATCTTCGTAGCCTTGATGGTCCGCGACGTCCGGAGAAAGTCGAAACGCGAAGCATAGAGGAATTTCATCGCCGCTTCAAACAACTCGCGCGTGGAATCGTGTACCACGTTCAACCTGCGCACGGCCTCAAGATCCACCAGCGTCGTGCGCTTCAGGTGCAAAGGCCATTCAGCGGGCGGTGGCGTGACCAGCGGGGGATCACCACTTCTGCGGCGAATTTCCTCGTAGAGCGAGGTTAGCTGGATCCCCAGCTCCCACGCCTTGGATGCCTTTACGCCGACGTGTTCGGCACGAGGAGGGCACGGGCCGCGTTGTCCTGCGCAGTTACGGCCTCCGCCGTAAGATGGCGGCCATAGTCCAGGTACCGCTGCAACGTCGCCACTCGTGTATGCCCCGTCAAACGCATGACTTCGGTGTCCGTCGCTGCGTTGTCCGCTAAGCACCTCGCCGCTCCCTTGCGCACTGAAGGGAGTGCCGCTGACGGGTTGAACAGCCTCAAGGCCGCTCGCACCGTGTCTTTGAGGGGACCCAGGGGGGAGAAGAGGAGTTGCCCGGGACCGCGTGTCGCCAGCAGCTGCTGGAGAACCGAAGCGTCCGCGCGCAGAAGCCGGGACGCCAATGTGTAGGGTCCGCGAAATCGGGCTCCCTTCCCGCGCCGAACTGTCAAGCTCACCCGGATCGTCGGCTCCGCCTCGTTCGTTGTCGGGTTGAAGTGGACGTCCCGTGCCTTCAACTGGCCGATGTCCCCCGCTCTCGCCGCGAATGCCCACATCATGCCCAGGTACAGAGACGGAATCGGATGGAGGCGAAGGTGCTCTCTCGCCTGCCTGTACTGGCCTATATCGATGGGCGGGGGCGGGTTCGAGGGCGTCTCGCGCTCGAAACGATGCGCGGCTGTGATCGCTGCTGTCCATTGAGGGTACTCCGTGAGGTCCACGCGCTTTTGCACGTTCGAGTACAACGGTAAGTTGAACAGAGCCGCCCGGATGTTCGAGAGTGCCTTCGTGTGGGTGGACCACTTCCACCGGCGCGCCCGATGCATGCGGTTGACGAGCGTCAGCGCGGCCGTGGCCAGATCGAGCTGCAGCAGGTCTGAAGGCATGGTCTTCAGCTCTCGCAACCAGCGGATGTGCTGCTGCCGGATCGTCGGGGTCACGGCTGCCCAAGTGAGTTGCGACACGTGTCGAGGCCTCGAAGAGTAGAGGATCCACTCTCTGGGGCAGATCACCGCCTCGTTGCGTCTGCCCTGCCAGTTTAAAGGTTCTGGCTCAACCTGCAGTGCCTCGCGTCGGTCCTCATCCTCCTCGTCTGCCGCGGTGACGTTACTCTGCGGCGGCGGTGCCTCTTGTCGGGCCTCCTGTTCTTGGCTGCCTGTCGGCTGCGGCGCATCCACCGGGGCTGGTGCGGTCGATGCAACAGGACGTGGTCGTGTATCTCGGTCTGCTGCCGCTGCTACCGCCTCGTCGGCGGTTTGCTCGGTCTGTCGGGCATATAATCCCACAACAGACTGGCCAGCGTGTTGGGTCAGCCTGTAGACGCGAGTTGGCGGCATTCGGGCTACCCCGGCCCTCCCTTCGTCCCTCACTCCCAAAACAAAGGAGTAGCTGCCAACCTGTCTTGGCAGTTGCTGTCGGCTCGCGGCTGTCATGAGGAACCAGGAGCGTGTTGTGCTGGGGACGCGACGTGTGTTGAAGGGCTCGAGGGTTAGCCCCATACGGGCAAAAGCGTGCCGAACATCAACATCTGCACGCCTGTTAAAACCTAAACGTGCGGAGCGCATAGCGAGTGCCTGTGCCGAGAGTGAGCGTTCCACTCCATCAGCCATCGATGTCAAGGCGGTCGCTGCGAGCATGTACCGTAGGCCGCGTCTGGCACATGCAGCATCGGCTTCTCCAGCTCGTCTCACCCAGTCTTCGGCGCTACGCCGCTGGATGGAACTCCCTTCAAGAGGAACAGTCTCTTGTTGCGCCGGCTGAGCTCCAAGGATCTCTCGTATTCGCGTCCAGAAGCTTTTGTGAGGTGGTAGCTTCTTCGCAGTTTCTGCCAGGTACGCGCGCAGGCGGCGGGGTAGGGAGGCAGGGTGGGTCACACTCATGTCAAGGCGAGCGGCGCAAAAGGTCGCGACCATAAAAAGGCCGCAGTCGTCGCTGTGTCTGCGCTGACGAGCGCACTGTCCGTGGACAATGGTAAGTGAGGGCCACATCTTCACAAAGATCCTTCTCAGATCCTTGTGCACCGGTTCCGATGGTGCCGAATCGTATATCTTCAGGCGGGTTGAGCCGTCGTCGACCATCTCCAGGATGCCAGCAATCCAGTGGCTCCGGAGGAAAAGCGGGAAATAGAGTCTCCTTGTCCGTTGCAGGGATTTCTCAATACCGCACACCCGCGAAGGAGTTAGCGAAGGCAGCGTGTCGCATCGCAACACGGCCTTCCCAGGGAAATAATGCTGGAGGATTCTGTCAATCTCCACATTATTTGTTTTGCCCGCGGCAAAGTTTCCGCCCTCTAGCATCGCATCTTCCGTCTGAAGGCAGTTGACGGGTGCAGTGTTAACGCGGCCGGGATTCTTGCACGCGGGGGGACTCAGTTTTTTGGCGACGCTTCGTTCGGGGCAACGCCACCTCCGTATCCCCACGGTCCGTTGCCCCCACGGCCACGGTAGGTAGAGTAGCCTCGTCCGTACCGCTGGCCACGTCCTCGTCCGCGCCCCCTATTTCCATCGTACGCTGTGTGCTGGCTTAGCATGGTGGTTAGTTGTTTGAGGCCACCGGTGACTTGGGCAAGAATGTTTTCAGTTTGCGACATGTCCATTGCCGCAATTTGTTCACCCTGGGCGTTGTAGATTGGCTCTGCGTAACTGCCCCCTTCTAGGAGATCAAAGGTGGTGGTCGCGTATAAAGCCTTAAACGGCGATTCCTCTTCGTTCATCTCGCTCCCGCCAGTCAGTTTACCATGGCTGACAATGTCTCGCACGTCTTCGTTGAGGTTTGCGATTTCCGAATACGGTGGGAAGAGTGGCATAGGGCAGTTTTCGAGGATTTCGCCAAATAGGCGTCGCTCCTGTGAGTGCAGACTCTTGTAAATTTGATAATTGTGGTACTGCATCGTCTTATTATGTGGGCCAAAGAGCAGGAGTTTCATCAGACACACCCGGCCGTACTCCTTATCCGGTGTGAAGAGAGTGTAGAGGCAAACGAGGACAACCGTCGGTGGAAGGCGCTTCTGTCTTGCCAGAGCGATGAATCGCTCTTTCATCTGCGCGTCGGTTAGCTCTTCCACGTCCTGCCACCAGGATTCCGCTTCCTTTATAATCCGCATCCAAGGGTTGTACTGAAGCTCCGCCTGTTCCGCGAGGTACGTAGTGGCGTCCAGGGTTTTCGTGTTGACCTGCGCTGTAGCCTCCGTCAACAATTTGACATAGGTTTCCTTGGTGATTTTTCCCTCATCGAGCTGCTTCGTGATGTCCCTCACCACACTGTCCAAAGGAGCAGACATCTTGTTGTAAAAGACAAGCCTCTCTTGAGCGAGATGAATAAGCAGAGGATGTGTATTGCGATGGAATGTTGTTGCAAGTTTCTGGTGAGAACTGAGGCCGTGATAAATAACTTCGAGAAAAGTACGCAACGATTGTGAGAAATCAAGCTGTCCACTTTCGTTTGCCAGACAAGCGACGAGGGAGGAAGAAAGAAAAGGGGTGACAAAAAGGGGGTTTTCGGATGAAAGAAAACCTATCCAGGCAATACTGCTAGCAGCAGTACCTGGTATACGCCGTTTGTACATTGTTTGTTCATCTTTACGGAAGGCACTAATACCTCGTGATGCACTCGCGTCTCGACACGCTCATACTCGGTTGAGTAGCGCTTCGCCTTCTCCCAACCAAAGAAGGAGTGGGTGCCCGTAGGTATCCCTCGTGTGCCGACCAGCGCAGTGTGTGGAAAGATGGTCTGCGCAGTGGGTCACACGGTCTATGTGTGTGTGTGTGTGTGTCTGGAGAGAGAAGTGAGGTGAGGAGAAGAGCGAGAGTGTAGTGGAGAGCACAGTCGTGCCACGTGCGTCCACGTAGGCAAGTGCTGTAGGAGAAGAAGAACGTAAGGTGCTAGCAGCCATTCTGCAAATCATGTGCTTCCACATGGCAGCCACTCCTCAGTGGGAATGGCCACTCACGTTTGCTGCGCGTGGCATACAGTATGTATACCACGCTTCGTTACAATGTTGGTTTGGCTAGACAACCAGTCCGTTGTTGGATCTGGCTGCGAATATCATCAAACTAATGGTGCTGCTACAGAAAGTAACATTAGGCAGACACCGTTTTCTTTGCCCGTGGTAATGGAAACTATTATGGCCGATCCCTCTACTCCATGCTAAGAAAAGGAAAAATACATGTTATACATGGAGTTATGCGTGAGGACACGGTCCATATCAGACAACGCAGCGGTCCATCGGAAGCATGCTTACTTAGGGTGCATGTCGGCGACCTGGTCTGTTGGCCGTGGTCCGTCCCCGTGCGCACAGATTAGGGAGAATAAGTGGTGGTGGTAGTGTACAAAGCAGGAAACCTACCACGCACCCACCGGTGGAGTACCGGTGAAAGGTGTGCAGACACTGACGGACGGACGTAGAGGAGATCGCCTACGTATAAACCGGTAAATTCCTGCGTGAAAAAGATGTAAAATGAAAAATATGGTAAATGCGCTTTCTGGAAAGATATGCCCTCATCCGAGGAGGAAGACACGATGGTGTCGGGCAAACACCGTTAATGTATGCATACCCCAAAACGGGTCATCCACAATAGTTTTCCTTTTTCCTTTTCCTTCCCTTCTCCATCTCTACGCATGAAAACATGAAGCATTATTCTTCTCTGTTAATTTTTTGCTTGCTTGTTTTCTCGTTCGGGCATCTTTTTCTTTGCTTTCTGGTTTGGACAGGCGCGCCAGGGGAGACACGATCTCACCCTCTGCCAGCCAGCACGGCGGCTAACGCGTCCTGTCGGCGACCGACTACCGCGAACACCTACGGAACACAAAACGTCTGCAAAGTTCCCTTAAACGGGGTGTGCCGTGGTCGGCGCTCTATTTTCCTGTTATTTCTATTTTTCACTTTCATTCTTACTATTATGTTATATATACATACGAAGTGGCAGACTCCTTTTCAAAGTCCGCCTCCAAAGCGGGGCGGTGCGGGCTCGGGTGGGCGGGACTCGAAAAAGAAGTGAGAGGCGAAAGTCGAAGACTGTCGCAAGGTTAGAAAAGAGGAAAATGGGGTACTAAGGTACATTTCAACATCCTACCATTCCAACATGACATCATTCCTGGCGCAGGCTTCGAGAAACAACAAACAACAGGAGCGATGCCACCGCCTGGGACCCACCAATGGTCAGCACGGTGCTGACTGGGAAACAACGTCAGCAGGGGGGGAGCCTGAAGCTCAACAACAAAGAAAAGAAGGCCGACAATGGCACCAAATACAGCCCTCCGCAGCAGAAAGGTATACCGGCCTTCTCGGGCTGGTCCCGCTGCGCGCCTACCTAGCGTGTCCTTTTCGACGGGTGGGTCGGGCGGGACGAAAAAACGCGTGGACGGACCGTAAGGCTCTAGGCTTTACGGTTTTCGTCGTAGGTAAGGAGTGCAGGGAATCAGTCGAGGAAAGTGGGTAATGGGTTCGAATCCTGGGAAACTAGTGCCTGTTTGGGCATACGACCCCATGCAGAGGCGTTTTGCAGGAAAACGTGTGGTGTGTAGAAACAGCGTTTTCTGCTCCCGACTTTCACTAGAGAAAAGTCTACAGTCCTTTTATAGGGGCATCTCGAGGAGAGTACCCCTATACGAGTACTGTGTTACAGAATCAAAACCCCGTCGCTGGGGCACCGCAAAGGGGGGTAACAGCCAAAAATCGAAAAAATGCAAAATCGCACTTTCGGCCCACGTTTATCCACACCGCACTCCGGGTCCCGGGTTCAAACACCGGTTCAAGCGCGACCGCATTGCAATGGAGATTTAAACGTAAAATCAGCAGCTCGGGAGACCAGAAAAACGTGGGGGAACAGATGGGCTCGAAAGTCGATGCTATCGTTGACGGGCACCCAGCGTCGACGTATACCCCGACCCTCCTCATAATCGGTCGTACCGGAGGAAACCCCGGTAAGGTAGTAAGTAGCTCCTCAGGGTCCACCCCGGGGAAGGGGTTCTCGGCACGACCGATACGTATAGATAAGAGAGATCACGGGGTACCCGCTCCTCGAGGTGGCTCGCACAGCTCCCTAGGTGCACATAGGGGTTCATACGACTTCTCGGAGCGGTATACGTGACTGCAGGAAAACAGGTAGTGGTGACACGTGTTGATCTCGTGGCTTGCGCCACTCGATATCCCTCGACCCTTCATTTTCAATAACCGAGAAGAAAAAGAAAAGGTGCAGCTGAACTCGCTCGTTTCTTTCCCATGACCGCCTGTTGGGGTGTGTGGTGCTCCTGTGGAGAGGGATTCACCGAGCACGTCATCCCCCTCGCGCTCTCAGCTCGTCATAAGCAACGCTGCTCCTCCGCGGCGGCGTGAGTCGCGGCTTCATCGCACAACTACAGGACCACACAGAGTCACACACACACACACACACAGTCGCGCGAGCAAGCTGCAGCACGTTTACGTTCATACAAGTGAAATAAAGCTGCGGACCTTTTTGTTTCCGTGGAAACTGCGCCTTTTCGTCACCCTCCCTTGTGACTCCTCGGGTGTCGGCGTGAAAAGGGCTCTCCACTGTTGCGCAGGCAAGGGTGCCACAAGGCCGCAAGACGAATGAAAAGAAGCTATTACCGAGTTAAGGAAATAATAAAGGTACTAAAAGGATTCTAAAGAAAGGAACATCTCGGCGGTCTATTCACATCGTCCTTCGTGGAAATCTGGAGAGCGAGCACGCCAGCTAGATCAGGTTCCACAGCATAGAAGTGCACAGCAGTGCCAGCATTAGCCGCCCATTTGGGCTGCCCAGGCCCTGCCAGTGCGCCGCCTCAGCCTCAGAGGCGCATTGAGAGTCATCCGTCAGGG